GAAAAAGTCCGAGGTTGCTGTGAAGAAGATACATAAAAAGCGCAAAATGTTTTCATGAATCCACTTTTATCAACCTTTGATGAGTAGATTAAAGTAAAAAACTTCAGTAACCCGTTCTGGACTTGGGAGAAAAAAGCTTTTTAGTGAGGGGGGGTTTTATATTTGTCTTGATTTCAAAAAGCCGTCAAATGGGTATGAATATTTATTTTTCTCCTTTTTTCCCTTTTGCTTAACATTYAAAATTTTGCTTGTTTTTGACACTAGAATGAATGTGAAAGTCAGGAAAAATAATAGTTTGTTCAAGCGTTTAATATTTTGCGAGCAGTGACGACTTGAATATGGGCAATTTTCAATCGATAATAAATGCAAATTTAGCGATAACGGTGGTCCAGGATTTATGCGCTGTAAAAAAATCATTTTGATGAATTTCGAGAAAATAAATTCATTTTCATTACTTACTAGTAATTACCTTTCTATGGTAAAAGTTTGAGGGAAAACTATTTTCTGACCCGAAATGCAGTGGGCCGCTTTTACAGAGACTGCCTCTTAAATTTCCCCGAATAACGAGGGACAATTTGTAACCAGGGACAATTTGTAAAAGCTGTCTTTTACAAATTGTCCTTCGTTATTCGGGGAAATTTAATCACTAATTTCCCGAGTGATATGGTATTACTTTGTACGAGAATCACGATCGAGATCGATTGAAATCCTAAGTAACGTGATCGTACCCTAGGAGATCTGGGGATTCTTCATAATGTGCTTCATGGATTATCCTAGATTCTAACGGTGTATTTCATTTTAAGATTTTTTAAGTGTTTAGAATCTTGTCATCTAGTACTAATGCAGCCTGTGTATAAATTTGGATGAAAGGTCTAGGGCAGAAAAAACGTTATGACGCCGCTTGAAAATTCAATCCAAAATTTGAAGATATAAAACATCGCGCTGTAGAAACATTACTGTTACCGTTGAAGAGATTGCCTYGAAGTTTTCACATACATATTTCCAAGTATTGCGGATGAGCCTTACGAAAAATCAGCATCAAATCTTAAAAGCTCATCGAATAATTTTTTTTACTATAAATTGACGTAAACTTCAAATATGAAAGTTTTGCTAAAAAATCACATTTTCTTCACTAGCTCCAATTTTTCCTTCAAACAGACCAGAACTTTATCTAGATGGTAGTGAAATTTCTACAGCTCGTCCTATTCAAATTTTGGAGAAAACGTTTTTTTTTTCGGTCGACAACAACATCGGCCCTGTTCAAGACACTATAGACTGTAAATTATGACCCTTTCTAAGACTACAACGTAGCGACACGCTTAATAGTATAGTGATCTTTTTCTGTTCGGTTTCGTGAGGATTCATTAAATACAGCTAGAGCGGCGCTTCCCAGCTCCTCCACTAAGGAATGATACACCTGCCTGCCAAGATTTGACCAATTGAACGGGTTGTTGTATATGCCCACGCTGTAGGATGCAATAACTGATTAATAATCTGTGCGGGAGTCGTCAACTGATATGTTGGTACTCGTAAACTGAATGATGAGAAATCCGAGAAAACCGCTTAGCTCTTAAACAAATCACTCACAAGTCGGCTACAATTACGGGTGTTTGTTATGCGTGCTTCAACTGCACGTATGGAAGCAATCAAATCATAGTCAAATTGAATGGGAAAGTTGGTATTTTTACGACACTATCAAAAAATTGTTATCGAGCGTCAATATGGTATTCATAATTTAAAACGGAATTTTTCGCCAAAAAAGTAAAACACAAAATAGAGTCTATTCAAAATCAATATTCATTGTGAGAATAATAGATGGAGGGAAAACAAACGCAAATCCAAAGTATTCCAGAGCACAGAAATTTTTCATATGTACCCGTAAAGAAAGGTGGTTTTTTTTTGTCTTAAACTTAGACAAAACAGAGAAAATTGAGGAGAAATTTATAAAAAAAGGAAACTAAGGCTTGGTGACAATCTACTTCCCGTCCCCCTCCCCGAAAGGGTTTCAGTTTTTTATTATTAATATCACCAGTATAGTCTTTCACTCATGATGATGAGTCATGTTGCACTTTCTGGTAGAAGACGTGCCGCTAAAAACCAAAGAAATATTTCTCAGATTGCTTGGACTTCTCCAGCTTTTACCGCGTTAAGTGAGGTCACAAGACTCACAATTTGTAGTAATCTAAAGAATGGAGAGTTCTGCCAATCGAGACGAGAAAACGATAGATCAGACAAACAGTTCTCAGCAAGATGACCAAAAGTTTGGGAATTCTTATACACCGCCTGATACTCCTGTTGGACGAAGATTTGGTGTTGAACGAGTGAAAACCGATATTGAGAAAGATGACAACGGTAGTGGAACCACGGAATCGAGCCGTGGATTTCCAGACGAACATGAACTCCGGCAGATCTGCTTCATGGAAGGGACGATTGGTTACGCGACGAACGAAGCTGTACCAACGACTGTATTTTATCGAAATGAATACTCTCAGACACCCGGCACTAGGCAGCGACCAACTCTAAGGGAACTACAAAAAGGATTTGGAGGAGATTCGCCTAAGCATCAACAGGTATGAAATGTTTTGATATAAGAGTTTCCGTTCGTTGATGAGTAAATACAAAATATCGGCGTTGATACACCTATAGCCGCTCTCCACATATCTAATCCCCCCTCCCCCTCTTCCTCGGCATATTAAATAAACTTTCCCTTTAGTCTTTATCTTATAAACTTTCATAGGCAGCCTGTGTCGTGTTCGAGCCCTTGCAAACTTGCGATTTTCTCATTATTATATAGAATTACGTCATACTTGCTCTATACCAAACAATCTCAAAATTTTTATGTCAACTGGAATTCTACAATATTCTCAGATCAGGAATCTTATTCTAGAGATGCCTAGAATCTCACAAGACATTTTTAGTGGAAAAGAAAAGACGAATTATTGAAATATAATTTATTCAACATTGTATCCATGACTCTATGTGTCTGGAAATATTCATTGGAAGTGTTGAACATCTGTTTATCGATTTCTTTCACTTTCACACAAAATTGATGTGGTTGAATAATATTTTCGAAGCATTTCTTTGGTTTTCCTATAGCCAAAAACATTCAAATATCTTCACTGATTAACGTTTAGCTTTATTTATTTTAATAATTAATAACAGTACAGCAATAACATCTTCAAGATCAATAAATTCAGTTTATTCGGTAGTTTTTTTTGACTATTTATATTATTGCTTCACACCCAGCGTAAAGAAATTATTACTGGTTGTAAATAGGTTACATTTAACATAAGTTGTTAAACATAAGGGAAAATTTTGCAAAATTTTAAAAGTTGTCTAGAATAGTATGCATGCACAAGCAGTCAATTATTCAAATCAAACTGCCACATACATGGCAATCACATGGATGCCCTCTTCTGTATCCTAATTGCACTTGCACTCTTGAGATATTGGATTTTACAATTATTACAAATATTACAAATATCATTTGTGACTATCACCTCATTTTTTATCTGCAATCTTCAGCATAATTAACTTTTAGATATGTCTTGATATCAGAAGCTCCTATATATATTTAACAATTATTCGCCGAAAGCGAAGTGAATATCGGGGAATAATAACCAAAACGGAGTTGAGGTTATTATTCCTGATATTCACTGAGCCTGAGCATAATAATGTTTTATGTTGTAGCATAAATACACAGGTGATTCTTTCAAAAAAGGGAAAAAAGAAGATAAAAGACACATTTAAAATTAGGTACAGCAACAAAGTGGCTGACTGCCATTTTGGATTATCACTGGAGGTTATTATCATGTAATGATCTGAGTTTCTTGACCAATCAGCGTACAAGATTTTCAATAATCACCTGYGTATTTATACTAAAAAGGTATTATAACTCGGCTGATTTTTTCAGACGTTTTTGATCCCATAATATGACTTTCAATATTTATATAAGATGTTTATATATGAATACAGTTTTCAAACAAATTCCCATTACCTTTTGCATTCCCAGTATAGCCAGCTCATACATTTGTAGCTGGTCAATTTAGGAACCATCAATTTAGGAACCACTGTACCAGGTGTACATGATTCTTGGAGCCACGTCACCAGACAGAGATACAAATATTAGTTATTGAGTGTAAGAATTCAGGACATTGCACATTCTGTATATCGCAAGGTGGTTAGGATTGATTGGTGATATTGTTTTGGCTATTTTGTGATATGCCATTATGGTTTTTAAGTATATTATTTTGTGAAGACTCAATCCTACAGGATCTGAAACAAGAAATGGGAAAACTTTACCAGCATTAATTTCAACTATTGCTCCCATGAATACCAACTAATGCTTTTCTTTCATCACCAAGCTGGACTCACCTGTTAAATATTCAGATGTGGGTAATGGTAGATATCCAGGCAGTCTCAACATCCATACCCATGGCTATACAAATGGTAAACTAGCTCCAAAGTTTGGCTGGTTAAAAGGAGTGATGCTGAGATGCCTTCTTAATATCTGGGGAGTTATTCTGTACTTACGGCTGACCTGGATGGTAGGACAAGCTGGGATTGGTTGGTCCACTATTGTTATTCTGCTATCAGCTGTTGTGACGGTGATAACCACACTGTCCATGTCTGCTGTTTGTACTAATGGAGAGGTTAAAGGAGGTGTGTGGTGCAACCTTAGAGTAATTACCAGACATTGCGATTACCAGGCAATTACTCAGTTTAGTAGATGGATAGGACACATTTTGATGAATGCCCTCCGAAGGAATAAAAAAAAAAACAAAGCAAAAGATAACATAATAGTCATAGGGGTTTTTATAGGAAAACAAAGATTGCTTGAATATTCCATTTGCTAGTGTTATGGAGGACACTATCTTGACCTCAGATACAAAATATATCAATATGCTTATATATTTTAATGGAGAGATAACTAGCTAAAGACTAGTGTGAGTTGCGGTGTTTCTAATGAAACAGTAATGATAAAAGGGTAAATTTTACACAGTCAAAAAATGAAAAACATTACTGACATTTCGGATGCAAGTCCTTCATTGGAGTAAAAGAGCATATAAATGAATGAATAAATGAGTGAATGAATGAATAAATGGAATTTTTTCAGATTTTATTAATATTGCCTTGTCTAGATTTGTTTAGGTCTCAAAAACTTTGTAAGTGGCATAAGTTCCTTGATTGAAGACATTCATTATTTTCTAGGTGGTGCATATTACCTGATATCTCGCAGTCTTGGTCCAGAGTTTGGTGGTTCCATCGGTCTAATCTTTTCTCTAGCCAATGCAGTAGCAGTTGCTTTGTATGTGGTAGGATTCGCAGAGACTGTACGTGACATTCTAAAGGACAACGACTCGTTAATGGTTGATGAGGTCAATGATATTCGTATCGTTGGTATTTTAACAATGCTGTTGTTGTTAAGTGTCACTCTTGTTGGTCTTGAATGGGTGGTAAGTATTGTTGTCTTTTTGTCAAAATGKTTTTTTTGCCCCAAAATTAAAGTGTAATCTTAGAAAACATAGTGACTGAATGCACTTTAGTGGCATATCTTAGTGGTGGCAAAAACATTGTTGCTGGTTTGGGCAACAACCTATTAAAGATATGATTTTTCTGCTGTCGCAACCCGGCCAAACAACCAAAAGATACTTTCTAAATCACATGATGGCTATTCTTTTATCTTTTAGGTTCGCACCCAGATGTTTCTATTTGGAATCCTACTGATCTCAATAGTGGATGTCATCATTGGTATAATTATTGGACCTCAGAATCCAGTCAGTGAGGCACGTGGCTTTACTGGACTAAGTATGGATATCTTTAAGACTAACTTTGACTCCAGTTACCGGAATGAAAACTTCTTCTCTGTGTTTGCCATATTTTTTCCTGCAGTTACAGGAATCCTTGCAGGTGTGAATATATCGGGGGATTTGAAAGATGCACAGAAAGCAATTCCACAAGGAACGCTTCTCGCAATCGTATTAAGTACCATTGTTTATGTGCTGCTTGCTTGGCTAAGTGGTGCATGTGTATTAAGAGATGCTCATGGGATAGTTGCTATGGTAGCTGGTGTTAATGGAACAATCAATGCTACAAGTCCAGTTTTTCCAAACTGTCCTGGTCCCGAATGTGTCTATGGTCTTATGAACGACAACCAGGTAAACCAATTGTCTCAATATCCTCAGTCTTATAGTAGTCTTACCTATAATCAACAGGACTGATTGGATTAACTAACTTTAGTCTATTTTCTATAGCTTGGATTGCACACCACATTAGTAATAAACATCTTTACTGTAGCTTGGGCATATTTCCCATTCAAGACCATGTATCATCTCCTGCAGTATTATTTCTTTATTTAACAGTTGCGCATGAAATGACTATAGATACAACTCAAACAAAGAATCATACTTTTACTCAGTGATAGAGCGAGTCTAGGTTTAGGGTTTCAATATATCATCAACGCCGAGAATCTGCCATGAAAACGAGGCAGCGCAGGAGGTTAAAACCATTGAACTGCAACAGAAACCTGGCTTATAGTTGGTTTGTTTGTGAAGGAGTTTTCCTTTTCACAGTTCTAGCTTTGTGGTTTGGATTCTGCTTTTCTTTATTATTTTAAATGATTATGGTTTGAAGTATATTATCATATATAGGTTTCATTATTATAGATGTTTTGAATCAACCACGTAATACTTTATTCTTAACCAAGCTTTCAGAGATAATTCTCCATCATCCTGATGATGGAGAATTATCTCCAAAAGCTTGGTTAAAGTATTTTCTAAGAAGCAACTTAGTTGACAACAAAGTTTATTTTGTATTTTTTTGTTTTGCTTTATAATATTGAATAGTTTTATTAGGGTGTATTGTTCATTCAAATAGCCATAATAGTGAGCATGGTCACTCAGACAGCTCTGTCGTGTGTGGTTCTGGTTTCATATTAGTTCAAATTAGCAAACAAAGCTTCAGGTTCTTCACCCAGATTGAGAAGAACGTTATGGTCTAAAAAACCACTTCACAAGAAATTTGAATTCATTAAAGGACAGTGGTTGTAAATCATTATTATCAGCCACTGTTGACAATTTCAAGTTCACAAACATATGCTGCCTACAGTTATATCCCATGTCTATAAAAATGTTAATCACAGAATTAATCATTGCAAAGTCACCCTTAATAGGGATATATAGAATAAGATCCAGGACCCCACACCAACACAGTAATCTATTCCAACAATACAATTTGTGCTCCATATTCTCGATTCTCTATACATTGCATTATTTGGGTCTAATGCTGTCACTATGTGCATTAATATATAATTATAAAATATTTGGGATACTACGCGCGCTATGATTGGTCGAAAACCATGTTTGATGAGAGTATCAAAACACGCTACCGTCATTTTTAATCTATCGCGCGCGCTCRTTGGTCAGTTTGAATAAGACGGCACGTAGGGAGAATTTACTTAGACTTTGCTTTTTTTCGATCTTTTCGCGCGGTTGTTATTTTATAAAACAAATCAAAAACAGTTTTCCGTGTTTGATACTCTGATCAAAACACTTGGGATGTTGGGAGAACACTCGAGAAGCTGGAAACCAGTGGTTTCCTACGCTCCTCTCGTGTTCTCTCAACATCCCGCGTGTTTTGATTAGAGTATCAAACACGGAAAACTGTTTTTGATCTGTTAACCATAGGAGTCCAAAAAGTTTTTAATAGACATAGTAAACATTATGAGTATAGGAGATGAGTTATATTCTGCCCAAGAGAATATGAAGTACTTAATATTCTCTTGATTCTGCCCTATCAAGATTACTCTACCAAGATTGTTTTACTATTTATTGTCATAGTGATGGCATTATTTGATTCTCATGCTTGGGATTCATTGGCTTCCCCCATTCTCAAGCTACTTCTGTACCTCTAGATGTCGATAACTTTAGTTCTTTAATAATATTACTATTAGACATTCTATTACAACTCAGCATTAGTGATCATAGTCTCGTTGATGCCTTTAGAAAAGTTTCTATTGGATTGTATTATAAGAGTTCTTCTAAACAGTGACACATAGAAAGTACAAACACTTAAACTAACAACACTTTCGCTATGATATCCGTTCACATAATTGGGACAGTGTAAATCTGTATAATGACCCAAACAGTATGTGGTGTGCTTGGAAAAATATTTTTCATAAAGTCGTCGACAAGCAAAACTTAAACTTATATTTTACAACCACCACTCCCCATACGGGGCTCTTCCGTGAGGTTCCCCCCACACGCACTACCACTACATTCTATATTTACAACATACAACAGTCAACTCACATGTTGCTTTTTACGGAGGAAGGGAACGGAGAACCCGGCGAAAACCCTCGTGACAAGGGAGATAACAATACATCAAACAAACTCAACTCACATACAATCCTGAGTCTGAGTCAGGGCTCGAACCTGGACCACAGTGGTGAGAGGCAAGCGGCAAACCACTACACTACCCATGCCACCCAAAGCATGCATGAAGGAGATGTGCTAAAATTAAAAGCAACTTGCTCAAATCCTACTCCTGTTTATTGGTTAAATTACTGGTTAAATTACGGGAAATGCCGCAATTCTGTGAATACTGAAATCAAGAAGGCTAAAGAATCGTATCATAAGAATGCCTTTCATGATAATGCAGGGAGCTCGAGAACGACTTGGAAAATCGTTAATGAGCTTTCTGCAAGAAAATTGAAAAGCATGAATATAAAAGACAGATCAAACATGTTGATGCACCAAAGCTAACTGAGGCCTTTAATCGGATCACTTTGCACTGACTTTGCAAGTGTTGGGGCTAAGTTAGCCAGTAAAATACCCGATAGAAGCCGTTCTCACTTAGAATATCTTGTTCCTATCCTGCGGCGTTCCTCAGGGGACAATCCTTGGGCCTTTGTTGTTCCTCCTTTACATCAACGATCTCCCAAAATGTCTTTTTCACTGTCAGCCGTGTATGTATGCAAATGACACTGTGGGTTTATAATTGTTAAGTGGTGTGTGCAAATAAATAAGTTATCTTTCGTACACAAACAACCTTTAAGCGTCTGTCTCAAAATAACTGATAAATATTTTCATTTTTCAGGTCATGGAGAAGATCTCAGCCTGGGGTCCTCTTGTTACGGGAGGCATCTTTGCTGCTACCCTTTCATCAGCCCTGGCTAGTTTAGTTGGTGCCCCCAAGACTTTTCAAGCCCTTTGCAAAGACAATATATTTCCTTATATCAAATACTTTGGTGTGGGGCGTGGCCCAGGTGAAGAGCCAACACGTGGATATCTGTTGACTTTTATCATCGCGGGCATATTTATAGCAATTGGAGAGTTAAATGTCATTGCACCCGTCATTTCCAACTTCTTCCTTATGTCTTATGCTTTGATCAACTATGCTGTGTTTGCAGCGTCGTTGGCACGTTCTCCAGGATGGAGACCGTCATTCAAGTACTACAATATGTGGGCCTCTCTCATCGGGGCTATGCTGTGTGTGGCAATAATGTTCCTGATCAATTGGTGGGCCGCTTTGATTTCTATAGTAATAGTTACTGCTCTTTATAAATATGTGGATTACTCGAAACCTGATGTAAGTACTCCTTCTAAATCATTTGTTATATCCATATAGGTTGCTAGCAATAGACGTCCGGTAATAGCTGCGTTTTTAATGGCTTGTAGAATCTCACGTGATTGATAGCAAGCAATTATTAGAATCTTCTTAGACGTTATAGTACTATATCCTCACTGAATACTATTGTCACGTCGCAGTAATTAAGTTATGGGGCAAGATCCGCGACGTGATGAGGTAAACAGCAAGGGGAAAGAGGTACGCCACCGTCACCAGGGGAGGGGGGTGGGCGAACTTGCCCTTCCGATGTCTTGCGAGGTAATGCGACGTAATGCGACGAAGCACGTGTTTCGGGTTAATTTATACTGCTCCGCGCTAATTTATTCAGTGAGAATAGTACTATATCCTCACTGAATACCATTGTCACGTCGCAGTAATTAAGTTATGGGGCAAGATCCGCTCCTCTACTTCTTCTCCAGTAAGGAAGAAAGGTCCCTGGCCATAGACCCCTCAATTGATCATTCCAACACTCAAACCTCTTCACTCAACAACTGTCCTTTATTGCCGAAACAAGCCTAATTGTGCCGGTGAATCCTTACTAATCCATCACTCAACACTCGTACACTCTAAACATGAACAGACAAAGTGAAGCGTGTGCGTGTAAACTGCCAGCTTGGAAATTATCTGGTTTTCGAAAACGCAACGTTTTCATATCGGCTAAGGCGGGGCTGGCTACGATCAACTCCGGGGGGACCAAGGGGCCAACGAAAGGCTGGGGTTCCCCAAACACATTACAGTATTTTCTTTCAAAGGTTTCTGTGGTCTGAAGAAGGCGGGAGGGGAGAGACTCAAATACGCTCTGAAAAAAGAGAAAACGAAGCGTGTTTTAAAACTGGGTATGAGGACCCCCCAGCCCCTCGTTGACCCCAGGCTCCGATCGTAAGACCAGAATTGAGGCACTGAGAAGGCCCCCCTAGAGTCAACCAGGAGCGAGAATAAAGCGCGAGACACTAGAGATCCAACCATTCAACAAACAAATTTATTTCAATTTCAAACAAAGACGAAATTTAAAAGGAATCGGACAAAGAAAGGTGTGATATAACAGGCCCGCAATTAAGTGTATTGTGAAAATATGCGCCAAAATGTGGAAAGGCATTTGCATCTTATACACCGTGTAGACTACCGAAATTAGTATATACCATACTATATTGGTCAGACATAGAAAGTGAATACGAGATAGGAACGGCACAATAAAGTCGCAATCAAAGGGAACCCTAAATCGTTTAAAATCAACTATAGAAATGGGAGTATCGCCTATCGAGAACGTAAATGAAATTTTAAAACTTTGGAGAATTAGACCACGTATGTGCCCGAGTTCATATTCATTACCTTCTTTACTCGGCTTCCCGAGCCACGTTATTAATTCGTATCTAACTCTCAGAGTTTACGTCTTTTCTCTCGTATAAACTCGGCTCCCTGAGCCACGCTGCTAATTCGTATCTAGCTCCCAGAGCTCACGTTTTCTCTCGTATAAACTCGGCTCCCTGAGCCACACGCTAATTCGTATCTAGCTCCCAGAGCTCACATGTTTCTCGTGTATAAACTCGGCTCCCTGAGCCACGCTACTTCGGTTTTGCTCAAGTTCGTTCTAACTGTATAAGCTAACTAGCCCAACCCCGGCTGCAGCGGCAAGAGTTGCAAAACTACACGTGAACCCGACGTTCTAAAGGACTGATAGAATGAAATTAAAGACTATACCTCTCCTGGCGGGTTTTGACCATCACCTTCGTTGTGCGCGGCGGGATTTGACCAGGAATTTGATCAGGAATTGGACCAGGAAACATGGCCAGGAACTTGGACAGGGGCTTGACCAGCTGGGCCGACGGGTGCTGGAGGGTCTAAGGCTGGTGGTAAATCATCTCGGGCGGCCATAACTCTCTCGCAAGCTGGTGACGGTGGCGAAATAATTTCGAACTTGCCCTTCCGATGTCTTGCGAGGTAATGCGACGAAGCACGTGTTTCGGGTTAATTTATACTGCTTTATATTGCTTTCCGAAACCCTTCCGACTATGATAATTTGTGATTGCAATTTCATATATACTTCAGCAGCAGTAAGGGGGACTCGCGATCGATGCCAAAGATTTAGGGGTTTAACCCGCGGAATTGCGAAGATGGGTACAGCAGATTTAC